AAAGTTGCGACCTTTTTTTTTCCTTCCATGTAATATCTAAGTCTCATAATTAAATCCGCTTTCCCATCATATGTCATCAATCCGGGTCTGCTTAAAATTCCGGAAAAAAAAGCGGGAAACTCTCATGAGGGGATCCCTAATCTCGTACAGAGTTGTCATGGATTGTTTTAAGCCCTATGATTGATTATCTACTAGCATAAAGTCAATGGCTGACCTTGAGAATCTCGAACGATCCTGAAGTGGTGAACACCTCGAAATCCCCGAAAGTAACTCCCCTTTGAAACTTGTTTTTACATCTTGAAATCCCGAATGATCCTGAAATGGTGAAAGCGATGAAACAATCCCCCTTAGTATCTGTTCATTTATCATGAAAATCGCGAATGGTGAAAATTATGAAAATCCTGAAAGCAACCTCCCTCAATATTTGTTCGCTCATCATGAAAATCCTGCACGATCTTGAAGTGGTCACCGCTTTGAAAACTATGAAAATATCGCCCCCTCCTCCCATTTCTTTTGTTTCATATACCTAGTGTTTAATTATCCACTAGCATAGAGTCAACGCCAACCCTCGAAAATCCTAAACGATACTGAAGCTGTGAAAGCTTTGAAAAGCTTGAAAGCAACCCCGTCTTATAACCTCTTTTGACATCTAGAAAATCACGAAATATCTTGAAGTGGTGAAGACTATGAAAATAACCCTCAAAATGTTGCCCCCTTCCTCCCCCTCTTTTTCATTTCACATGCTTCTTGGATGTCATGCCATAAAAACCGTGAAAGCCCTAAAAGGACAAAATTCTTGAAGGATCTTGAAAACACCCCCCTCCGCACATGTTTTCGAACAAATATCCCAGATGCATATCTAGAAAATCTTAAAAGCCCTAAAGCCTGAAGGGGTAAAAATCTTGAAGCATGGTAACCGCTCGAAGGTCTGGACCGGGTTCCAGACAGTCCGGTGTCCGGTGTCCGGCGTTCGGTCCCCATGTATGGATGGAGGCCCTTGGGGCAAAAAAAAAAAAAAGGGGGCCGCCCATGACGTTTGTCGGGTCCTAGCGGCCTCTCGAAAAATAACGGGGTGATTTTTAAGTGTCCTTTCACCCCATCGGACATGGCCTAGAGGTCCAAACACAAGACACTGCAGGTTTTTGAGGTGGCAGGTTTCGCACAGGCCCGAACAATTTCAAAGCCGTTGTTTCGACTTGGCGCCCTCGACTGCTGGCTGTTTGGGTGGGGTGGTGGTGGTGGTGGTGGTGGTG